CACTTGACAACTTTACTGCTTTGGTAAAATATACAATGCTGTTAAACTTGCTTACTTTTGAAGTACGTTAACTCGATACTTAGATCTTTGATTTAAACTTCAATTTTAGTAGCTGGGTTAGCTTTCTCCTTTAGATTCCACAATAGTGGGACTGCAGATGGGGTAGTGGTTAGTGTGCATGACCCATGTACGTACCCCCTTTCCTGTCAGCTTACTCTCAGAAAAATTAGCCTCTAGTGCTGTAAAAACTAAAAAATATATATTTGTACTTTTTTCATTTTTTGCATATTTAAAACCTTCAGCCATTTTCTGTGCCAGTACATAAATAAAAAGGTAAGGTGCATAGAAAAGGTTAAAACCAGTTTCTGACAGTACCGGTATGTTGTTTTCTATTTCCAGAGCATTTGGTGACCTCTGTAGAGACCACAGGGATACGGCTAAGTGGTTTTCCATGTCCAGCAGAGCTTGGCTGTACTTACCTAAAATTAGACAGATCCACATTCTCTGCTTCAGCCTTGAGCTTTCACAGTAGAAGTGTAATGGTTAAAAAAGGAGATAAAAAAGTAAAAGGGTATTTCAGTATTGCAAGCAGGCTAATAATATACCACTTGTTAGTTTGTGTGTGTTTTATTAAAGTTTCTTGTTTGGCATGCCTTCTTTATTGTAAATAATCATCTAAGCCTCAGCTTGTTGGATTTTCTAGATTAGTTGACATCTTTTTCTCGTCCTATCTCAGTATTTTATGAGGAAACAAATCAGAGTGGGGGTGTTAGTTGTTTCCCACAGGCCTTTTTGAAAGCCTCTGCTCTGCAGCTGAGAAGATCAACTCATTATTGAACATGTATTCTTATCATCAAAGCCTATGAGAGGTTCAAAGTGATGACTACGGAGATTTTCAATAGACACATGACTGTGAATAGAAATACGTTATAGACTATCTTTAGCAGGTCTCTGTGGTTCACATTTGAGATTTTGTTAATGCAATGCTTTCCGATGATTCACACCTTTTTTTTTCCCAAGGTCTTATTAAAGATGAGCAGGATTTACCTCATTCTGCAGAGAATGCAATAAAAACAGGATATTAACCGTGAATGAGCATCTTTTTACCTCCTGGGGAATCAGCTCAAGGCCTATCCGCTAAAAAAGCAAAAATGTTTCTTTATTCTTCAAAGTCTAAACGTGGATTAGTGTCGACATAATTGAATAGTAATTAGAATAATGAATTGTGAATAATGAATAGAGTAATGAATAGAATAATTATTAAATACCTTTCCATAGGTTTTTCTAGTTATCAGGCAGATTTTTCTACGTATAATGATTTCAAATGTTTGGCAAACAAAATGTTTGCCAAACATGTCTAAAATGTTTACACTCAGCTTTAATTACACAGAAAATAAATTAGACAGCACTGAGCATTGGGGCTTCTAAATAGCCCTGCAATCAGGGCATGGCGTCTCTTTGTGGTAAAGCAGACTTTCTGGCTACGTTCACACTGCAAACAAATGTGTCGCAAATCCAATTTTTTTATTTTTTTTTGCCATGACTCAGGTGAGATTCTATCAGGACTGTATATACAGGCCAAGTCACAAGGAATCTGACTTTTTTCCAATCTGATCTGGGCCACATTTGGATGTGGTTTTAAATTTCATGCCAGTCAGATCTTTGGAATTTGGCTGCAGTCTGAAGAGCTAAGTGATCCATATTGGAATTAGTAAGACAATGATGTCATTGCACTGATAAAAATAATTACAACAGAACTAACATGGAGGACAGCATAGACGGAGCCATGTTTAATATTTTATTTCTCTTTCTCCTCAGCTCTCCTTTTCTGCATCGTCTGCTATATCATCCGGCGACTTCCACTGCTAAACAGCTTTAAATCCATCCATCCATAGACACTGACTTCTCACACGTCTTGTTATTCTTTGAATGCAGGTCACTTCAGGGACACAATTTGAGGCTGTCATGTGAACAGAAACATTAACGTATTAAGAACTGCAGTGTGAACGTAGCCATTGTTGGCTATAAAGTGTAACTGACGGAGTATGATGTGAAGTATTACTGATGGACAGCCTATCTGCACTGCACACCAAATTGTTTTAAACCAATATATCTTGGGATATAAGAGAGGAAAGATCTTTCTCTCCTTTATCCTCTTTACATCCTTATTTTTTCTAATGCTTTTCTACCTAATTTGATTTAATGTGTACTGGTGGTTTCAAGCTTCAGTGTCATCAGTTAAACAGTTTTGTCTCCAACACTATAATCTGATGCTATTACCTGAGTCCCTTTGTTTGCACACGTTACCCACAAGCTTTGGCTTGTGGGTAACGTGTGCAAACAAAGAATTAGAAAGGCTTTTTCCAAATTTTTAGAAACAGCGTTATGCAATAATGTTTGGTTTTTATACAAAAATAGATGTTTTGCTTGATTTAGAAAATGGCTAGTTGGCAACTCTGCTGGAATCTAAAAGAAGAGATTGTTGCCATAGTGTAAACAATAAACTAGAAGCAAGCAAACGTTGACTTCGCCCATATGAATATCCTAACAGTCTCTTTAGCATCTTATAATCAAATGATTATTGTGAGATTTTAAAAGGAGGATGTAGGGAAGAAAAAAAAAAAAATATATATATATATATACAGCTATTCTGCTATATGGTGCCTCTTATTGAAAGAGTTCTTTTATTTCATAACGCTGAGGGATTAATCTGATTTTCTTTGCATTTAAATTTTTGAGGAAATACTATTTTTCCACAAAGGTTGAATGTTAATTAACCCCCCCACCCACCACCACCACCACCATATAACCCTATTGCCATTCAGAATAATTAGATACTGTAGTTTAGATAACATGATTTACTCCTCCTGTCATCAGACCAGAATACATCCAAATCAATATCCTCAGATTTGCCCCTTAAGAGCCCTTTGAGGGTTTACCCTGTTCTCTTGGCATTATTTTATTATTGTTACATTTTCTGAGAATATACTGTTCAAATATAGTAAATATTTAGTTTAAGAATTATAATGAGATAAGAGGTTCTGTCTGCAAACACATTTCTCTTTGGTTTGGTTTAACACTGCTTTGACAGGTCAAATGAAGGCCAATAGGAAACAGTTTGGCAGTCTATTAACAAATTTGATTTAGTTGCCCAGATGCCAAATTACTTGTAGAGGAAATTAGATGAGATGTCATACAGTTGATGAGCCAAAGCTGCAAATGCTCCAACACTATCAAGCACGATTTAAAATAATTTTTATTCTGTAGGAGAATCTTAGGAATAAATCTTACTCTTACTCTCAAATACAAATACTTAAATCCTTCATATA